CTTTTGAAGTGATAATCAAGCTAGCCCAGTACAGACAGACAGTTAGGTAACAAGTGTGAGAATACTTACAAGGGGAGATAGCTATGCCTAGTGGATCCCAACACCGTCATCACTGTCATATCTGAACACGTTCCAGCTGTGCATTAAGCAACGTGACTAAGACCTGGGCTATACACTTATACCATCATAGCTATGGCAGGCAGGGATGTAATTTTTTTTTTTAAACTGCCATAGCTTTTCCAGTCTTTCTAGTGCCCAAAACTGAATGCAGAGTTGCAGATGCAGTCATGCATAGAAGGAGACTATTGTCTCTGCTCTGATGTAAAGCCTTCATGTAATTCTCCCCTTCCCATGCCTTCTATGCCAACTCCTCCCTGCATAGCATAGCTTCTCTCCCATAGTAACTGCAATGTGTGTTTGCTTAATTGGACTGATGGCCTCCTGTATGGAAGAGAGGAAATAGTGCAGTCTCCCTATGTCCCAAGCAACCACCTTAGTGTCTGAGAGCCTGCGTAGTATCTGAGGTATTTGTGGGTGGAGATAGAGCAGCAGTTGATGTTTTGCTCTCCTTGGCTCTTCTCCCTGCTTTGAGCTCAGTTTTCCGCACACAGATCGAGGTGGAAGCTGTTAAATCTTTGAGCAAGGTAGTATAGATACAGATCTGGGTCCTCTCCCTGGTGCCTAATGAGCAGCCACCCCAGCTAGTGCCAACTCTACTCCTGAAACAGAGAGGGAGGTGGTCAGTGGAGCCTGCAAGTTGACTCCAGGCTCTGTATGGATGGAATAGCGTTCCTGTATCCATGGACCCCTGAGAGCAGAGTTGTTGGGAGGGTTTGCAGTCTACCAGGTCTGCAGGATCATGTAACTTGTCTACCAGATGGGATGATGCAGCAAAAATTTTGCAGGTGGAAGCTGGTAGTTTGCTCCTCCCTTCAGCTATGCCTGTGTGGGTTCTCCACAAACTAGAACAGTGATATTCAGACCTCAGTGGTTCAGGAGCCAAATTAATGATAAACATTACCCAAAAGAGCCACAGTAGTGTGAATTCATTATGAATATTACTATAGTAAATGAAACATCCAAACAGTATGATAGATAGGAAATATTATGTGTGTATGTATATCTATCTATTATTCTCACAGCAAATAAGGTAGTGCACGTTGGTAACTTAATTGGTTAATAACACAGTAAAAACATCTTGATTGGTTAATAATTAAACCACTCAGTGTTTTAATATCACGTGCTACAGAGAGCCCCAGGAGACATCCTGAGACGCACTACTGGCACTTTTGCTGGCACTAAAACTTTTGTGGCTCAGGGGTATGACCTCCCCAGCCCCCAAATGGCAAACATTTTAACAACAAAAAGTGCCAGTGTAGACAGCACCACATCAGCTGCTCTCCCGGCAATTGGGGGTGGTTTTATTTTGTCGCCAAGAGAGCTCTCTCTCCCGGTGCTGAAGAGCAGCTACACAGCTCTCCTTACAACAGCATGACTGCAGCGGCACAGCCACGCCGTTGTAAGGTGCGCAGTGTGGACATAGCCTGAGCTAGAGTGATCTGGCCCCTTGTGTTTCAAAACTGAATAGGACAAAGGGACTGGGCCAGGGCCGGCTCTAGGCTTTTTGCTGCCCCAAGCAAAAAAATGTTTGCTCCCCTCCCCCACCCCCGTGCCCTGCCACCTCAGCCCTGGGCTCTCTTCTCTTTGCTCCCCCTCACCTCCAGCTGGTCCAGTGCTGGCAGGGTTGGGGTAAGCAGCGGGGCTCCCGGGCCATGCCTCAGCCCATGGTCCCTCCAGCTGGGGCTCCCGCCTCCAGGACCGGCTGGGACCTGGCAGGGCTGAGCTGGGGGACTGCACGGCAGAGGGCTGAGGAGCCAGGGTAGGGCAGCCCCAGAGGGACAGAGCCCCGGAGAGCAGGACACAGGCCCCGCACGGCAGCGCCCCGCCCTCTATGGCCCTGCTGCTGCTTCTGGCCACCCTGCCGCAGTCCCTGGGCGGCTCAGGCTGCTTTGCCCAGCCCCAGCTGTGGCGCTGGGGCTGCCCTGCGGCACCTGCAGGCGGCTCCGAGTGCCCCGCGGGGCAGCCCCCAGCCTGAGTGTCCCCTGCTTGGAGCCTGCCCAGCCCAGCCACAAGGTGCGGGCGCTGTACCCCCGCGGTGTGAACCGCAGCGACCCCAGGGCGTTCCCCGCACACGAGGCGCTGCTGCTGCCGCCAGGGCTGGCTCTAAGCTTTTGCTGCCCAAAGCGCGCAAAAAAAAAAAAAAAAGGTAGGCTGGAATGCCACCCCTGAAAATGTGCCATCCCAAGCATGTGTTTGGTTTGCTGGTGCCTAGAGCCGGTCCTGGACAGGAATTCTGTCTCTGTAAATAAACAATTAAATGTTATCTCAAGAAGGAACACTCTACAGGTCTGAAGGGAGGGAACAGAGAGGAAAGTGATAATGAGTCATAAAGGTTTTAAATAAACAAGTTTTAACAAACAAACAAAAAAAAAGCACGCAGGCCAGTGTTGTGCTGGCCTTTTCTTTGTTGTTGCCACATCACATCCCCACCTCGGGTCTAATTTGCTGTTCGCTCTCCCCTTTATTTTTTCAGGCATTGCTTCTCTCTCTCTCTCAATATCTGTGTTCCAGACTAATTTGCCCTAGATTATTTCACATGTTGTTATGTTCTGTCCATGCCTCTAAAATCCCGCCAGGTTCCTTTGTATCATTCTGTGGATCTTGCCAGTTCTAATAATTAACTTTTTAAAATTAGAAATCTTCACTGACTGATTGCCTTTTCTGTTCCCTTTCAGAAATTGTCTCTAAACCAGAAATCAAATGGATATGTTCACAAAAATTAATAAAGGTGATCTGTGAGGTGAAACAGAAGAACAAACCTGCTTTGTATTTGCTTCAAAATAACACAATGCTCTCTGTAAATGGGCCAATATATACAAATGGCACATGGAAGATTGAATATCCACCCAAGGCCAGAATCCTTACTGCAAAGTTCCAATGTGAAGTTAAAAATGACGTTAGCAAGAGAACTGATGATCAGGAAATCAAATGTTCAGGTACAAAGTCTATATTGTGACAAGGTCTCCTAATCACAGCCCACAAAGACTTACAAACGTACAGCTGTCTCCTGGGTGCTGATTCTAAAACCAGTGTCAGCCCAATAAAATAACCGAGGGAATTGACATGCAGTAGGTTTTATGCAGTGCTACACAGCAGGAAGCAAAAAACAAAACCCTTTTTTTCAGCTGTTGTTCTTTTATTATTTCTACAGCACCAACAGTATCCATTGCACTACACAGACCATTACAACTTCAGGGTTCATTTTAGTTGGATAGAATAAAATTACCCAAGTTGAAAATTGGTCAAGATGTCCGTTAACACCCTACATTTCCCAAGAATGGGCCTCATTCTCTCTCTTAATCCAGATTTACACTGTACACCTACGTGACTTCGTTGACTTCAATGAAATTTCTCTTGATTTACACCAGTGTAAGGCTGTGTCTACACTACAGGTGCTACAGTGGCATAGCTATAGTGCTGCAGCTGTGCCGCTGTAGTGTTTCAAGTGTAGACAAGCCCCAAGTGCCAGGAGAATTAGAAGCAAGGAAGTCTTCATCTTTTCCACCCTTGTATCTACACAGTCAGTGGTGCCACATTGGCAGATGGATTCTTTTGATAGAAAAAAAAATGGATATCCTGATTGTTATTTAACATGTGCATATAAAGCATAGGCTTCCTTTGCAGTGAGCTTTTGGGAAATTAGCTGTGTTTTAGGAGTTAATCGGCTTAAATGAGCAATCAAGGAGGTTGGGCCTTGGGTGTAGATTTTCTTAAAGGAGAGGTTTTACAAAACTTGCTCTTCATAAAAATGTTTTCATGAAACTTTAAGGGGAAAAAAGTCAGTGGAAATTTTGTTTTTGTTTGAACTGAAACTGTGTCCTGTAGTGTTGGAGAGGCAAGTCCAGCAGCATTAGGCTAGTGTGCAATCGGTGAAACACCTGAAACTGACCAGTCTTTTTTCTTTAATTGTCCAACTTGGGTAAAATGCAAGAAGTCAACAAATTAAAAATTAATCAGGTCTCCAAAATCCTTTCACATTAAATAAGCTAAAGTGGCAATAGAAAAATAAGTAATGAAATTTAGTTTTTAACAATATTTGAACAGCTTTGATAGCTTCCCACCTGTGGTAAAGTCCTGTGGCCTGTGTTATTCAGGACGTCAGACTAGATGATCACAATGGTCCCTGCTGGCTTTATAGTCTAGGAATCTCCATCTATGCAATTAACGTGTTCCCTTTGACGTGTTAATCTGGGCATTTGGCAGCTTCAGACACCAAGCAGTTTAATTGTTAATTTTACTTATATTACTATCAGGTGATAGAAACCTACATACTTATTACAATGGGAACAGTGCTACAAGCTTTACCCCTGTAGTTTTGCCAAAGTCATAGCTGCAGAACTGGGCATTTCCAGCTATTACAAAAGAATCATCTATTCTAAATTAGGGATTCCAAGGGTTAAATCATCACTGTTTAATATGTGTTAATCAGTGACTCTGCACTACATGCTCTATGGTATACAGGTGAAGATATGGAGTCAACTTCTCTAAGGAATTAATTCCTTGGGCTTCAGTGAAGTTATCCACGCAGAGAGTTTGGCCTATTGCCCATACCCCAATTAGTTTATAATCTAGATTAGTGCTTCTCCAAGCTGGTCCGCCACTTGTCAGGGAAGAGCGGCCAGTACCCACGCTGCTTCCCGCAGCCCCCATTGGCCTGGAGCGGTAAACCGCAGCCAGTGGGAACTGCGATTGGCCGAACCTGCGGACGTGGCTGGTAAACAAACCGGCCAGGGCCTTTCCCCGTGCAAGCGGCAGCCTGAGTTTGAGAAGCACTGATCTAGATCACTGGTCACAAAACTTGTCAGGGTCATGCCCCCCTTTACGCCAGATGCTGCAGAATGAAGTGCCACTGAAAGCCTGCAAATAAATAAAACCAGTCAGCTTTCAAAGGGGGTGAGGAAAGGTTCCTAGAGGGTGGAGCTCATTGCAGTGAAAGGGTGATTGTCTGCTCCCTTCAGACTAGTGACAGGGCTATGGTCCACCCATTTAGCACCAGGCCCAGCCCGAGCTGAGCCTGAGAGGTGGCAGCTTAGCCAGCATGTGGAGTGACAGAAGAAGTGAGAGGCTCTGCCAGGGCGGAGTAGAGGCTAGCAAAAGTGGGAAAGAAGTGGCTCATCCCACCACCTGCAGGCAAAGAGGATGCTGCTCCCAGGCACTTATGGGAGAAAGGGCAGGAAATGGCTTCTCCCTGGTCACAGTGGGCTCACTCTAGGATGGCCCCAGCGCACAGTGGTGGGCAGTTACTGAACCGGGGCAGAGTGTTGCTATCAGCAGGAACCGAGGCAGGGGTGCTAACACAGCAGGTCCAGGCTCATCCACCTTCCTGGGGAGCAGGGGCTGAAAGTGGGGAGGCATGTGAGAGACGTGGCATAGAATTGTGGTGTCGGTGGAAGACACTGCTGTGGTGCATGTTCTCCCAGGACAGCCAAGGCTGCTTCTTCCACAACTGCACTGGTTTCCTCTTCTGCTACATCCTGGACTATATGCAGGACCTGCTGCTGATACTGCCTCAGCACTTTCCTGAGTGCAGCCACCTGCAGAGGGAGGCCAAGTACTTCCAGCTGCCCAAGATGGCATGCCCTTTGGCACAGAGCCAGGGCCAACTGGCAGGAGATGCACCTGCACTGCAGTGGATCCCTCTGCACTGACCAGCCCCTGCCTCTGCTCAGTGATTTGGAGGTGGAGGCATCTGAAGGTGGGGGCACTGCCTCAGCCCCATCCTCCAGAGACATACACGAAGACCTGCCCCACCCCCTTATGCAGGAGTAGGGAAGTTCTGTCTCCAACCCTCCAAACTTTCCCCAGGGACAGGTCATTGCCCATCCACCATGAGTTGGGGCAAATCCAATTTTTTACTCCTAGCTGTACCACCACGTCAGACAGTGTGGTGGCATCCTGAAACAGCGAGAGGAGTGTAAGTACAGATATAAGACTCAAGGAACATTTCTCAAAGGTAGCCAGGAATAATCCTGTTAAATTGACGCACAAGCATGGGGTGGGTGGGCCAAAGATGGAGTCACCATAAGGCAGTGTAAAGTTGCTGTTTTACTGTCACATTCATTTGTGTATATTAAATAGTTGGAGCTTATTGCATGAAGTTCATTCTTTAGTCATTCAGGGCCAATCCTCAGTGGGTGTAAATTGATACCCCGAGCACTGGCTCTGCACTCCCATTGATGGATTCCCAGCCAGTGGGAGTTGGGGGGGCAGTGCCTGCGGGTCAGAGCCATGCAGAGTCACCTGCATGCTCCACCTAGGAGCTGGACATGATGCTGGCCGCTTCCGGGGCACAGCGTGGTGTCAGGACAGGCAGGAAGCCTGCCTTAACACCCCCGCTGTGCTGCTGACCGGGAGCTGCCCAAGGTAAACCCATGCCCCAATCCCCAGCCGTGAACCCCCCTCCCCCAAACCAGCACTCTCTTTGTGCACCCCAAACCTCTCATTCCCAGTCCCACTCCAGAGCCTGCACCGCCAGGCCAGAGTCCTGACCTGCTTCTGCACCCCAATCCCCAGCCCTGAGCCCTCCCAAACCAGGAGCCCCTTCCTGCACCCCAAACCCTTCATCACTGGCCCCATCCCAGAGTCTTGACCTGCTCCTGCACCCCAACCCCCTGGCCGCACCCTGCAGCCCTCACTGCCACACCACAGCCCTGAGCCCCTCCTACACCCCAAACCCCTCATCCCCAGCTCCGTTGGGTTACGGACATCAACATTTTTCTTCAACTGGGTTACCAGAAAAATAGTTTAGAAACCACTGGCCTAGTTGACAGAGCATTGGCCTAAGACTCTGTAGACTTGTGATCTATTCGGTGCTCTGCCACTGGCCTGCTAGGGGACCTTGGGCAAGTCACTTCACCGTCCCGTGACTCAGTTTTCCCCTGTAGTAAAATGGGGATAATCATACTGATCTACTGAGATCTATGGATGAAAAGTAACATATAAGAGCTCAGTATTATTATTACTTGAATCTCTTGTTTTAATTGGGCTACTTACAGGAGCCATTTTGCAACGCAAATAATATTAATGATGATGACATAGGGTATCTTTTTTTTGGAATATCATAAAGCACTTCACAGACACTAAGAAATTAAGCCGTGCAGCATGCCACCTCTTTTACTAGAAGGGAAGGAGAAGCCCTGTGATAATTAAAGTCCGATTTCAAGACACAAAACTCAAAGTATGTATACCTTTTTGCACGCACATGTGCACACATTTGCATACCCAATCACCCCCATTTTGTGAGCAAAACTTTGAATTTGCAAGTTTAAATGGGGCTTTCCAATATCCATTTGTTATATGATCCAGTGCCCCATATGCACACACATTTGGGAGAATTGTATGCAAACATAAATGTGTGTAACCATGTAAAAATGTGTGCGGACCTTGAACCTCCATTTCTGCAAATTCTGTGCCAAGGATCTGTCTTGAATATATGGACAAAGAGGCGGGGACCAGTAAGGAGGAATCCTCTTCCCAAGCAATAGACCAACTGTAGAGCTGTTCAACGGGGACTTCTCCAGCCTGATCCCCTTCCCTAACCTGGGGGTGGAGGGAGACTGTGGTGCATCTCTGAGGATATAGTTTAACCTGGGAGCCCAGCCTACAGAAGAGAATTGAAGCATAACGCACTTGATCTACCATGCCCATAGGGCTCCAAGGTGCCATTTCTGAACTCAACTATTTCAGTTGTCAGCCAAAATATTTCCATTTATGATTTTTTGAAAAGTCATAATTTTCAGTGAGGAGTAAAAAAATCAGACCAGCTCTATGTAGGATTGTCAAGGTTGCTTCCCCACTCTGAACTTTAGGGTACAAATGTGGGGGCCTGCATGAAAACTTCTAAGCGTAACTACCAGCTTAGATCTGGTCCGCTGCCACCACTCCCAAAGTGCTAATTCCCTTCCCTGGGTAGCTGTGAGAGACTCTTCACCAATTCCCTGGTGAATACAGATCCAAACCCCTTGGATCCTAAAACAAGGAGAAATTAACCATCCCCCTCCTTTCTTCCACCAACTCCTGGTGGATCAAGATCCAACCCCCTTGGATCTAAAAACAAGGAAAATCAATCAGGTTC